ACACACAAGGACCATAAAGAGACACACAAGGACCACATAGAGACACACAAGGACCATAAAGAGAAAGACAAGGACCATAAAGAGACACACAAGGACCACACAGAGACACACAAGGACCACATAGAGACACACAAGGACCATAAAGAGACACACAAGGACCACATAGAGACACACAAGGACCATAAAGAGAAAGACAAGGACCACATAGAGACACACAAGGACCACATAGAGACACACAAGGACCATAAAGAGAAAGACAAGGACCATAAAGAGACACACAAGGACCATAAAGAGAAAGACAAGGACCATAAAGAGACACACAAGGACCACACAGAGACACACAAGGACCACATAGAGACACACAAGGACCATAAAGAGACACACAAGGACCACATAGAGACACACAAGGACCATAAAGAGAAAGACAAGGACCATAAAGAGAAAGACAAGGACCATAAAGAGACACACAAGGACCACATAGAGACACACAACGACCACATAGAGACACACAAGGACCACATAGAGACACACAAGGACCATAAAGAGAAAGACAAGGACCACATAGAGACACACAAGGACCATAAAGAGAAAGACAAGGACCATAAAGAGACACACAAGGACCACATAGAGACACACAAGGACCACATAGAGACACACAAGGACCATAAAGAGACACACAAGGACCACATAGAGACACACAAGGACCATAAAGAGAAAGACAAGGACCATAAAGAGAAAGACAAGGACCATAAAGAGACACACAAGGACCACATAGAGACACACAACGACCACATAGAGACACACAAGGACCACATAGAGACACACAAGGACCATAAAGAGAAAGACAAGGACCACATAGAGACACACAAGGACCATAAAGAGAAAGACAAGGACCACATAGAGACACACAAGGACCATAAAGAGAAAGACAAGGACCATAAAGAGACACACAAGGACCACACAGAGACACACAAGGACCACATAGAGACACACAAGGACCATAAAGAGACACACAAGGACCACATAGAGACACACAAGGACCATAAAGAGAAAGACAAGGACGATAAAGAGAAAGACAAGGACCATAAAGAGACACACAACGACCACACAGAGACACACAAGGACCACATAGAGACACACAACGACCACATAGAGACACACAAGGACCACATAGAGACACACAACGACCACACAGAGACACACAAGGACCACATAGAGACACACAACGACCACATAGAGACACACAAGGACCACATAGAGACACACAACGACCACACAGAGACACACAAGGACCACATAGAGACACACAACGACCACATAGAGACACACAAGGACCACATAGAGACACACAAGGACCATAAAGAGAAAGACAAGGACCACATAGAGACACACAAGGACCATAAAGAGAAAGGCAAAACCAAAAAGAGATGTACAATTATAAAAGAATTAGTCAAATTCACCACAAAGAGACCCGAAATGACCACAAAGACACACAATGACTAACAACAAAGACAAATGGCTATAAAGACCGACACAAGGACCTCAAAGACACACAAAGACAGACTGTTACAAAAATATATTCATAAAATAGAAGTGCATACAGTTAATATTACTCCATATGGAGATTATACTCTACACACATACCACACACACACACACACACACACACACACACACACACACACACACACACACACACACACACACACACGCACGCACACACACACACACACACACACACACACACGCACACACACACAGATCTTCTAATAAGCCTCAGATGATTCTCTCTCTCTGTGTGATAGTAATAATAATCACTGAGGCTCCAGTCTGAGTGTATTCTCAGATTCACATCATGGCATCCCGCTCCATCTCCGTGTCTATTTTTACACGCGTGTTCCAGCGTCACTGTGACTCACAGCTGACGAGACGAAGCGTGATGAACGAGGATGAGGAGGAGGAGGAAGAGGAGGGTTTCTGTTACACTTGTTGAGATCAGTAATCTAGTTTCCAGCAGTGTGAACTTAGAGATGTTGAGGATCCCAAAGTGTTCTGATAGAAATGTAGAGTAGGGTCTCCAGCTCATAGAGACTGCCGGATGCTAACCTGCACATGTTGGGCTATTTGCACAATTAGCATACGTTGGGTTGATAAGCATATGCATACTGTGTGGGAAACTTCTGTGTAGCAATGCAGTGGGAGTCACCGACTCAGGAAGGAGACACGGTGAGAGTTGGAGCTTTTGATGTCAAACACTGATGGGTTTATTCAGAGTATCGGCCGGAGGATTCACATCACAAGTCAAAGAGTCAGCGGTTCTGACTTCAAATAGTAAAAACAAAATGTCTGATTTGGACAACTTTGGAGGTGAGTGAAGATGCTGCACTCATTTCTGACATTTTTAAGATAAAAAATAATTCAGTTTTGAGTCTCCTATAACTTCAAAATCGACCCAAATTCATCAAAAACAGCCCATGGAGTACAAATATGGTAACTTTCTGGTTATAACTGCCATTTTTTATCCTGAAAATGTCAGAAATGGATTCAACATCTTCAATCACCTCCAAAACCACTCCAAAATGGTCCAAATCGGCCAAGCCACTTTTTAGCTACTGTCTGTATTTATTTCAACAAGGAGCATGCATCCATATACCTTAATCTCAGAAAAGAGAGGAGAGATAATTTATGCCAGATTTTAGCTACATAACAATTACATGACATTACATGACATGTCACTTGTTAGACGCTTTTATCCAAATTGACTTACATACTCAATACTGTGGACAATCCCCACAGGAGCACTTTGGGGTGACGTGTCTGGCTGAAGATCAGCACACTAACTAACCCACTGAGCAGTAACCCACTGAGCCTTCCAATCAACAAACACTCAAAGATATTGCATAATCTCTATCACACAAACAATTACAAAACAAGATTAAAGTACAGGTCAATCAAATAGTACATAGTACAGTTAAAAGATAACATTACAATTCAATTCAAATTGAAAAACTCAGATTACAGTGTAATTAACGTCGGCATGCTTAATATCAAATATTCAACTAAGCCGTGTAATAAATGGAGGGAGTTTATTAAAACGTCTTGAAACACCAGTTAAACCAAACTCATCCTTTGTTTTGGGGACAGCTGCAGCCATACGTTGATTAATCATTCATCAACTCCTTTATGATCATTAAAAGAGACAACAGAACGCGTGGACATGAAAGAGACACCGAACCTTATTAAGGTCACGACTGGGACTGATCTGACTTTCATATCAACATCTGCCTTGTGTCGGTTATAACTAGCCTGATATACAGTGTGTGTGTGTGTGTGTGTGTGTGTGTGTGTGTGTGTGTGTGTGTGTGTGTGTGTGTGTGTGTGTGTGTGTGTGTCTTGTAGCATTGACTTTTGGAGGAGAAGCCTGTTGCCATGGATTCCTCATTCTTTCTGTCTGTATTTGCTCTGTTTCTCCTCTCCTTTCCTCTCACCTCTCTCGTGTTGATGTGATGTGTGTTTGGGGGATTCAGGGCGTGGTGACCGGCCGCTGGAGAGATTAAAGTGATGATGAATCAAAATAATTAAAAGATATATAACAACTAAAACTTCAAAACAGCCTCTCAGCCCGAAGCATTGTATGTAATGTGCAATTAAACCACTTGTTTGATTAGGTTTGATCAACATCTCTCAACGACGAGTCAAATCTGTGGCTCAGATTTAAAGGCTGTGAAAGTATGAAGATTTCCCAGAAAAACCCTGTAAACACACAATAATCTGTTCCAATCTTTTCTTATGACCACTAAGTGTGTGTCCATATCCGGACATCTGCTCAGATCCATTTAATTTAGCTGTGTTCAAGATGATTCTGTGTAATTTGTGACAGAATATCACCAGCCTTATCCTTTAATTGAATATACTTTACAACACTTCAACCTGCTCTCACATCTAAACGCTTATGTAAATATATTTAACATGTTCATTCAAATGCTCACTTTTTTCTGTGATATCTTGTATCAACAGTTACTTTATCATTTTATCACTTTATTTGTTCTCTTTATTTAAAGGTAGGGTAGGTAAGTTTGAGAAACCGGCTCGAGATCGCTAGAATTTGAAAATACACAACCGGAGAAAATGTGCCACTTCCTTACAGAGCCCCTCCTCCAACACACACGAACGCGCACATGACCAATGAGGGCACGAGATAAGTCTGTGCACAGATGGAAGGCTGACAGGCAGGTAGGCCATCCAGTTATTTTAGCCGGGCCGGCTCAGATGATTGGTCGTGCTTTTTACAGTATTACTGCTTCCACAGATGACATTTTTTTATGGATTTGTTGTCAAAGCACTTCAGATATTCATTGCTATCGGGATGTTAAGAGCATTCCATGGAATATAACAACAAGTGTATCTCGAGCCGGTTTCTCAAACTTACCTACCCTACCTTTAATCCTGTTTTTTAACTCTGACCCTGTTGCTGCTATAAACGCCTGAATTTCCCCAAGTGGATAAATCAAGTTCCATCTTATCTTATCTTTCCTTAACGTTGTCTCTCCACTCCTAAAAATCTCTCAATGCAGAGTCAAATCTGTGTCTCAGCTCAGGTTTAAAGGCAGTTAACGAATGACCCTGTAAAGACAACAAATCTGTTTCAATCTTCGCTTATAACCAAGTAAAAGTGAGTGGTCTCTGCCTGAATTAATTCCACGTTGCTGTGTTCAAGGTCTGTGTAATTTGTGACATACTATCACCAGCTTTATCCTTTTAATTTAATATACTTTACCACACTTTAACCTGCACTCACATCTACACGCTTATGTCAATATATTTAACATGTTCATTGAAATGCTCAACGTTTTAGTTTGATATCTTGTTTCAACAGTTACTTTATCACTTTATCACTTCATTTAGCTGTGTTCAGGATGTTTCTGTGTAATTTGTGACACACTATCACCAGCCTTGTCCTTGTATACTTTACCACACTTTCCTTAACGTTGTCCCTCCACTCCGTTTGAGTACATGATCCTCACCACCATCATCGCTAACTGCATCGTGCTGGCTCTGGAGCAGCATCTTCCCGGAGAGGACAAGACCCCCATGTCCAAGAGACTGGTGAGATGCATTTAAAAAACACATGCACACAACAATGCAGACATTAAAGGTCTCCTATTATACTCTTTTTAGGCAGATATTATAGGTCTCAGATATATACAAAACATGTCTATGAAGTGTTTTGATCAAAATACCAAACAGATCACCCATTCTAGCCTCATCACCCTCTATTTCAGCCCTGTTACTAAAGTGCTGATTCTGGGTCTGTAGCTTTAAAAAAAAAAAAAAAAAAAGGAGAACTCTCCCATCAGATTCTCAGCTAAATGCTGCCGTGATTAAACTCCATATCATGTTCCAAACCACATCAAGGATTATTTCTGAAACAGTATGGAGCTCAAACTCTTTCTCGAACACATGCTCTCCAGTACAGGTTAGCTCTGAGTGTTAGCGATGCTAATGTAAACACAGACCATATTACTTCCAGAACACGTCTCATTGTTTTCTCACAGCAACGTTTCTGATTGGCCCGTTGGTGTAAAGCCCGCCCACATTTTAGTAATGTCGTCATGACGCAGCAAATCTGGATCAGCTCCGTTGTTCCCCCGTTTTTAGAGATGTGGGTACGGAGGAAAAGAGAGAGGGTTTTGTTTCCTGACACTTTGTGAGTTCCCTGACACACCGGGGACACACCGGGGACACACCGGGGACACACCGGGGACACACCGGGGACACATAGTGATGTAGAAAATACATAAAAAATAGCATTTTGCATGATAGGGGACCTTTAAAAGATAAACTGCCTCTGATGCCTGGGTCTCCGTTTCGATTATCAGGAGAAGACGGAGCCGTACTTCATCGGGATGTTCTGCTTCGAGGCCGGGATCAAGATCATCGCACTGGGCTTCGCGTTTCATAAAGGCTCCTACCTCAGGAACGGGTGGAACGTCATGGACTTCATCGTGGTCCTCAGTGGGTGAGTCCTCAGTGTGTGTCTGTGTGTGAGTGTGTGTGTGTGTGTGTGTCTGTGTGTGTGTGTGTGTCTGTGTGTGTGTGTGTGTGTGTGTGTGTGTGTGTGTGTGTGTGTGTGTCTTTAACAGCTACCTGTAACTGTCTGAGCAGCATTTTTGATCAGCTGAAATAGCTTACGTTTTTCTGCTGTTTCCTGTTTGATTTTGTAATATCTCTATTGCTGTGTTTCAACTCGGATACTTCCCTTAGTACACTGCATGACATGCACTGTGTAAACTTGTGCAGTGTGTGTAATTCAACTGCGTGATGTTGTGTTAAATCACACACGGCTGCTGTTCTCTCACCAGACGCGACGTTTGTCATTGTTTAGCTAGCATTTTATTTTATGTACAGTACTTGTGTTACATTACAGATATCACAAATGTTTCAGAGGCGCGTTTCCACTACAGCGCGGAGCTCGCTTTAAGCGTGCCGAGCCGTGCGGGGCCCGTTTTTGGTTGCGTTTCCACTAGGCGTAGTACCGGCTAGCGGGTACTATTTCACAGTTTTTCTGGCCCCATAAAATCGAGGTTCTTTCCGGGCCAACAACCGGGCTGAGTATGCTAAACTAGAGAGAGAGAATCGCTGGCAAGGGGGCTACAACTACAACAAAATAAACACATTTGACCGTGATTTAATTGTAATACACGTTTCAAAATGATGCCGAAGTAACAACATACTGATACCGGTTAGTAAAAACCATGAATTAATGCTTTGTCAAGTCTGCAGACAGACGGCAGGCGAAACACCTTTTAAAATGTGCGTTTTCTAAATGGAGATTGGCTAAGCTAACGCAGTATATGCTCCGACCGTCCACACTCACAACAACGGCCTACAGACATAAATAAAGCAGCGACTGTATTCACCATGACACAGGCAGTCTGTGGTTTGTACTTGTTTAACTTTTGTCTAGTTTCTGAACAGATATGAGGAGCTGTGAGCTCTGAGTGCTAACAGCTAACGGCTGATGTTGGTTTTGTGTTTCTCATTGAAGATGACGTCACGGCTCCGCCTACACTGCGTTACTATAGTTACTGCCCCAGCTACTACACTGTAATGGAAACGCAGCATAAAGTGAGCCAGTCCTAACAAGGCCTAACGAGGCCTAGCCATACCGAGCGAGGCCGAGTGAGGCCCTGTATAGTGGAAATGCGTCATAAGTGATCGGTCTGTCTTTGTCCCTGCATTATTCTTTGTGTTCCAGTTGGGTTTCCTTGTGCCCTCCATGTTTGTTTCTAACTGAGTTGTGCTGCCTGCTCCCTGTGTTGAAGCTGAACTTTGATTACATCTTGTTATTTATACCTGCGTCTCTTTAATGATCTGTGATTGGCTCCAACTGCCTGCTAGACCCCTGACGATAGAAGCTTTTTGAGCCGGTTACAGCTTGTTAACCATCAACTGCACTTACAGCACATTAACTACAGCTTTTAAAGGCCCAGAGAGGCTAGTCTGTGGGGAAAGGTGTTTTATTAAAATAGTGTTTTACAGCAGAGAGGTAGACGCCTCACCATCAGCAGATTAACCTCTCACACAATAACATGAAATATTGATCAAATCACGGTGCTGAAGTACAATGGGTGGCAGACAGGGTTCCTAGAGAATTCTTCATCATTGTGGGTGCTCAATTATTGATGAGCCGAGCTCGATATAATCATACTCCCCTCGCTGTTGGAGGGAGGAACAGTGAGAGGGGGAGAGGAGAGCATCAGAGAGAAATCACTTAAAGAAGATAAAGACCACATATATGGATCTTTTCATTTTTGTATTTATCTGTGTATTGACCAGTGGTTCCCAACCTAATGGAGTTGTGCAGGAATGAGTCTTAAATCCTGGAAATGTTCACGTCATCCACTTCTCAGGTTTGGAAGTAAAATCCTGTTGTCTTTTTGCATATAGCCCATGTTTTGTTCCAAGACATAAAACATGAAAGTATTGCGTAAATGCAGGAGTAAAAAGATAACGTTAGGCTATAAAGGAACTACAGCGCGGTCACATGACTTCACGTCACCCACCGCTAAGCTAAAGGCGGCTAATGTTGGGCTATAAAGGAACTACAGCACGGTCACATGACTTCACATCACCACCGCTAAGCTAAAGGTGGCTAATGTTGGGCTATAAAGGAACTACAGCACGGTCACATGACTTCACGTCTCCACCGCTAAGCTAAAGGAGGCTAATGTTGGGCTATAAAGGAACTACAGCACGGTCACATGACTTCACGTCTCCACCGCTAAGCTAAAGGTGGCTAATGTTGGGCTATAAAGGAACTACAGCACGGTCACATGACTTCACGTCACCACCGCTAAGCTAAAGGAGGCTAATGTTACGCTATAAAGGAACTTCAGCACGGTCACATGACTTCACGTCACCACCGCTAAGCTAAAGGCGGCTAACGTTGGGCGTGATGACGTTTAGTCGTCTCCTTTAGACACTTGTTAGCAAGCCTCTGTTTTAAATTAACCAGTGGAGTATTTACTGACGTATTTTATGTCGTAGAAAAAAAATCTCTTCAGCTTGTGTTAACCAAAGACACCTTTTTCAGGCTAACAACCAAAACACATTCAAAACACCTTTGACTTCCTCACTAGAGGATAGGAAGTGCAAACATGCTGACTCATTTCTGAACTCATTCCGGCACCGCTTTATTAGCGGCTAAATTAAAACATGTTAATGCATTTGTTCTCATCTCCCTCTCTGAAAGGAGGTGACAGACGCTGTAATCAGACTTTACCTTCCTGTTAGCTCGGTGTCAGGCGGTATTTATTGATGTGTTATCTTCTCCTGCTGCTGATTTACTGAACCATTATTTAGCATTAAGATGAAGGCATGTTTCGTGGGTTGAATTTAAGATAAACCGATTGTGATTGAGGCAGGAGACGTGCTCTATCTGGATGGAATAGCCTTGAAGGTCTCATTTTAATATTCATATTCAGCGTGATGGAGTGAGCTGCAGATGGATCCCTCTCTGAATTATCATGCTGGACACAGCGAGGGCAACGCACACACACACGCACGCATGCACACACACACACACACACACACTGACTCACTTGAGGTTTGCAACATTATTAGAGAGTGAATGAAGGTTATTAGAAATGCTGATAATATTAGATGAGTCACCAGTTCTGTCTCTGAGTTAGTAATTAGGAAGACTCTGCAGACAGTGAGGGTCACACACTGTGTTACAAACACACACACACAGACTCTGCATACACACATGCATGCAACCATCATAAGCATAATGCAAAGGACGGTTTGAAGAGGCCTTATTATGCTTTTCATGTTTCCCCTTCCCTGTAGTGTGTTGTTGAACACTCACACTCCTATTGGCTAGCGCTCCAAGAGGGTCTCTTTTGCATTGCCTCGCCAACATTCGATATATTCAACAATTATAGCTTTAATGTAGTAGCAAAAAAAGTAAAATAAGAAATGAACAGTATTTACTGAATGTTAAACTGGGAATGGAAATGAATGAAAGAGAGATGTGAAAATCCAGACGGCTGTTTCTGTTTCCTGAAAGGCTTTTATAACATGTTGTTGACTTATGTTGTTTTCTCAGGCCTTCACACATGCTTTACGAACATGATACTGTGGCTAAAAGATCAAGTTGTGAAGGGATTTTAGAGAACGGAGAGTAAAACAAAGTGAAGACGAGATAGAGCTGCAGGAAAACAGATGCCTCCATGCGTAATCGTACAAACTAATTGGCAGGTTGGCGCTGGCAGGCCTCCATTAGACGCCCAGCGAGAGAGAGGGTGACACCACTGAGAGCCAGACTATTACAGGGGGGAGGGGAGAAGGGAGGCAGTCAGATAGTAAAAAGGAAAAATCAGTTCTCTCTGTACGATACGATATAACACGTTATTGTAGAATATAACTTTATTGTTATCACACAAAGTATAACGAAATGTCTTTGGCAACTCTCACGGCAGTAAAAAATAGACACAAATAAGTGACAGTGCAACGAGATAACATTCAATGTCAATGTGCATATTTACACTTACAGTCTAAACACGTTAAATGTACAAAACTGTATAAGTGTAGTGTATTTCTAACTGTGTGTTCATCAAGGGTTAAAGTAACCAAAGGATGCAGGTAACATAGCCATACATATTGTAAGATTATATTGTAAGATCAAGTCAGACATTGTTTTGCATCAAAGCAGCTCCATTTGCAACATCAAACAAGGAGAAATACTAAGACACGATACATGGGAACAGACATTTAACTTAACATCACCAAGAGACACATGCTCAAAGACCCTCTAACGTTAGATAAGGGGTTTAACTCTGTGTTTAATGTGAGGATTGAAGTGAGCTTCTGTCTTACTTTATTACATCCTGGGACCCTGTATCTCTGATTTGATGGAAACAGTTCATATCCTCTGTTCAGGACATGTTGGGTTCAGACGTGATGTTAAAATGTTGTTATGGTTATAGAGTTTCTCACAGACCCTAACAGAGACCTCAACCTATCCATAACTGGTGGAGCAGTTTTGATTTTCAGGCGGTGGACAAACACTTGTAGTATTGAAGTACTGGAGAACACTCAGGATCACAGATGTTAAAAAGTTAAAGGAGATTTCATCAGGACTTACTGTAGAATAAGAGAGACGTCTTTATGGAGAGACGGAGGACGTAACAGAGTCTTGAAAAGGTTGTAAATGATAGCATTTCATGACTGTAAAATAGTGAAAGCTTCAAATTCTTGAATGAAGGCCATTGTAGGTAAAGAAAGGTAGAAAGGTTTTGCAGCAGGGTTAGGATTAGGGTAGATAATTATGAATATTCAGTATAATATTTTGACAAAAACACACACATTTACTATAAATAAATCTTGAATAAGTAAATAAAATAAAATAATGAAACAGCATTGATCATGGAAGGCAACAAGAAGAGAGAAGAGTAAGAGAGGAAAGTCCTTCATTCAGATAATAATACATGACGTGTTTGTCCCGAAGCTATA